TTCTTTTTCACTCAAAAACAAATTTTCAAGAATTAAACCCTAAATTTGAAGAACTTACTTAGTGATGCTTTGCTGTGTTAATCGACCAAGATAGGTGACCGGCAATGGCCTACTAGATGGTGCCACGGTAGTCGAAGGTGGCCAGAATTTGGGAAGATGAGTGTTAGCTTGCCATGATCATGCCGAAGCTTTGCTCAGTTTTCCTACTGTGATTCTAGGGACAGAGAGTGAAATTGGTTGAGGAGTTTTGTTCACAATGCTTGTATTCATCGATATACATGATCAATTTGTAAATTAATCAAGCTGATCGTTGCAATTAAGCTAGATTGCATGATTGTTTTTCTAGAAGGAAATAGGCCAATTTTCAGATCCTATTTTTAGGATCTTGAGATCTAGCCCCCTAATTTCCTTTTTCGTTTCATTTTGGTCCCTAGCATTCCTAATTAATTCCATTCAGACCCTGCAAGCTTAGATTAGTTCAATCATGCCATTAACACCTTCAATAAACTGCTAAACCTTTTGACCATTTCAACTAGGCCCTCTAGTTAATTAAATTTCTCCTATTTACCGCTAAATTGGTGTATTACACATTTCGTTTTCCTATCTTAATGTGATGTAAAATTTGTGACACTCCACTTCAATTATTGCATGGAGAGCCTGATGATTTGGATGGCCTAAAACCAAACTTGAACTTGAGGCATTTATCATTTTAATTAAATTAATATAACTTCTTATTTAAAATTTATTCTTCTAATTAACTTTTTGAGATATAACATTGCAATTAAAATTTAATATGACACTTTTCTATTAATAAATCTCTCATATTCGTATCACTGCTACTACATTAACTCGGATCATAAATTTTTTGAGGAATGTAATCATTTGATTCATTTACATGGAGAGTCAATAGTCAAACTTTTACTTAAACTTCTCCTTTCTTTCTTTTTTTCTCGTGTCTCACTATTATCTAATTGGGCTCCATAAGTCACTTGCTTCCTTTGCCAAAGAGCCCAAAAACTAGGACTAAATTAATTTAATTAAAACACAAATAAATTTTATAAAATTAATTTAGAATATTTACATAACTTAGCTAAATAAAAAGTTGACAGTTGTAAATGAATATTATGAATTTGGTAAAAATTATTCAAGGATTACAATTGAAAACTAAACCATCAAATTAAATTAGGTAGGTTTGTATTTTTTATTTGATTTATAACAGCATAAAAAAACTAAAGGTAAAAATTATTTTTTTAAAATTGTATAAATTGATTTTGTAGAATTAAGGACTATTTTTTATTTAGTTTAGAATTTAACAATGTTTATTTAATATATAAAACTAAATACATTTAATAATATTTATTATCAATTATAATATCTTAACTTAAATTTTTAAAATTTTAACAAATAACTATTATAATAGTAATATTTAAAAAAATTCAGCATTTAAAACTCGAGAGTATAAGAGATAGATATAATGCTAATTAACAGTGTTAATTTTAAGATAATAAATGATATAATGAATAATTTATATGTTTACACCCAAACCAAATGTGACCTGAAGAGGCAAATAGGATAGAGAATAATTTTTGCTTCTTTTTAAACATACCTTTTTCATGGTTTTAAACTCCTCAGTCCATGTAAAGTTCATGAAACTCAAAATGCACCCTGTTCTAAAAAGTGTTTTGAAAATTGGATCAAACCATTCGATTCAACCAGTTCAACAGGAAATCGGCAGGTTCTTCAATTCGGTTAAATGAAAAAAATCGTTTTACGCTTTGAACAAGTGAAAACCAGTTAAAATGGAAAAATTAGAAAAACTGGTTTACTGGTTTGACCAGTTCCCTTTCTCTCTCTTCCTCTAGAAGCCTCTGAAATCTTTGAACCAAAATTGGATATTCTAAAGTACAGGAGGGGGATTTTTAATTTCTTGGATGCCACCATAAAAAAAGAATAAGAAAAAATGAAAATGAAAAAACCAGATGCCCACGTGCTTGCACTGGAGGAAGAAAGAAAGAAAAATAAATGAAAGAAAAAAAATGAAAAAGTCAAAATTTGTGGCTGAAGATTTGAAAATTTGATTAAAAGAATTTTTATTTTAGTCATTTGAAAAAAATTATTTTTGTTCTTGAGTCCTTAAAGGTTTATTTTTCAACCTTCCATTTTTTCTTTAAATTATGATTTGTTCAATTAAGTTCTAATTTGGTCAAAATTGCTTTTCTTGACTTTTGAATATAAATTTATCATTAATTATAATGAAACAAAATTATTAGATTTAAAATTTTTTATCCTAATTTTTTATTTTTTACAGTATTTATAATAATAAATAAATAAATATTTAAATTAAATATATTTACGATATTGCATCAATTGAAATAGTCGTTCAATCGACTCGACTGGTCAAAATTATAACCAATTAAACCACCGATTCTTGCACCAATCTAATTATTAAAATACTGGTTCTAAATTAAAATGATTAATCATTGTATTTAGGGCTATCAATGGAGTAGATTTTAATCCGAATCCAATTCGAATTAGATCTGATTATTTAAGATTTTTAACCAATAAAAAATTTGATCAACATAATCCGATTAAAAAAATTCATAATCCGAAATAAATAGAGCGAATATGGATCTCACCTGATCCGATCCGTTAAAGATCTGAATCTGATTATAATATATATATATATAATATAATATATCATATATGGATACTACACACACACACACACACGATAGATACATACACAACTATTATTATATTTATATGTAGATGAATTTTAAAAAAAGTAAATAAGATGTGCCACAATTTAGTTTATAGAATTAAACAAACTTCGTTAGGCAAAATATTTTAAATAGAAATAAATAATTTATATAATATAATTAATCTTAATATTTTTGTTTCTTTTATTTTTGTTTCAAAAATTTTGTGATTGAATAACTTATCATTATTTTTAATTATTCAAATTTTCTAGTATTAATTTTTACAAAGTATACTAATTACATGCTTCATTTATTAGATATTTCTTTTTTTTTTTGTCATTAACCTTTGTGTAGATAAATGACATAATATTTAATATAATTTTTGCATTAAATGTACTTCAAAAATTTACTTTTTTCTAGTTATATAAAAGTTTTGGTTAATGTAAAAAAGGAATTTTAAAATAATATTTACATTTTTCCATCATATATTATAAAAATAACTATTTCAATAATGAGAATTTTCAAATATAATATTTTTATTTTATATAAAAACTGAATTTTGGAGAAAAGAAGAAATTTAAACAGCTCCTAAAATATTATACAAAATCACTTTTGCTTAATTTGAGAGAAAAGGCTATTATTAGCAAGTCATCTCAAAATGAAAATTTGTGGCGGATTAAAATGCAATTACATTGCATCAATAATTTTAAAGCACAACATTATTTATCAATTCATTATATTTTTAAAAGAAGGGATCAATTGATATTAAGTGTAAGCGTAAAAAACTTACACCAAATCTTACACTGTTGATTTTGTCAAAATCAACGGATGAGATTAATTACAGTTATCTTCCAATAACTTCTAATAATTAATTTACAGTTAATTAATCTCATCCGTTAATTTTGACCAAATTAATGGTGTAAGATTTGGTGTAAATCTTTTACACTTATACTAGTGTCAATTGATCTATTCTCATTTTTTAAGGTATTTCTTATTTTATTTTTAAAAGTTTCCTTATTCAGATACAGATTATTTTTTCGGATATTGGATTTTTTCGAATTCGAATATAGCTATCAATCAAGTCGGATTCAGATATAATATATGATTATCAGATTCATATTTGAATCTATCGTAATTTGATTCAAATATAAACTATTAACAACTCTAATTGCAATAATTGCAATTTTTGCAGTACTACCTAAGTAGGCAGGAGAAGCCCACGCATCAAGATGGGCTTTTATAAAGTGGAACCAAGCAGTTCACAAAAAATCAAGCTTTTCTTTTATTTTTCTTTCTTTTCCCCGAATCAAACTTAAATAATTTATTTTAAAGAGTTGGACATTTTTATTCCACAAAAAAAGGTGGACTCCCAAAAAAAAAAAAAAATTGAAAAGCCACACACCTGAGTTCGGATAAAAGATCTTCTTTCATCGAAAGTTTACTTTTTTAAGTGAATTTTAAAAAATTGGGTTTAAAAAAGTGAGTCTATTAAAAATCTAATCTTTATTTGATTAAATGAGTTTAGTGGAAGTGGATTATAAATAAATGACCAAATTATTTTTATTATTAGAATATTTATTTATTTATTTATTTTTGTGGCAAGGATTTCAAGTCACACTTACTAGTAATGCAGAAGATCTAAGAAGCATGGACATGAATGAGCCAAACATACCAAATAAGATATAATTTCTTTTTGAAATTTTATTCATTATCTTTTATAAGTACAATATTTTAAAATAATTATAAAAATATCACCACCCAATATTCAAACTAATTCATTCATACCCAAACGCCACTTGACATGAAAAAAAAATACTATCAATTTCTAATAATTTTATTCCTTTATTACCCTGCTGAATATGATATATGTGTTAATTTTTATATTATTTTTATAAAAAAATTAACTTTTAATCTAAAAACAAATGTAAATAAAACATAGGGATGCATGTGGCTGAGTATAAGGTGAGGCATGCCTTTGAAATGAAAAAATAAATAAAAAATTAAACATAGCAGATGACACAACAAATATATCATTTGGAGTGTTTATGAAATATTCATATGGAGTATACATGATACAGAATGTCCTTACTCCCTAGCAAAAGATAAATAGCATGATATTAGTAAGAGAGAACATAATAGATAAATTCTTCCCCTACTGCACTAGCGGCAATGGCAGAAGCAACAAGATCATTGACTTGTCTCAGATCATCAACTGATGCAGGTGCACATGGCATATTGGAACCTAGGATAATAACTTAAGAGGGGAAAAAATTGAAAATATAAAGAAAGGAACTAAAACTATCAAGCATCACATCGAGAACCCCCATCTTCTGCTAGTGCTCTGTATAAAACCTGAATGATCCGAGATAAATCGCATCAGAGAGATCAGTTTCTTTTTGAGAAGCACAACTCACAACTTTCACTCTATAGTTTTCCTTCTTCGTAGTACTTTGAGCACGTGTCTTTGGATTATCCCTGAAAGTACACCTGATAAATCAGGACAGATCAAAGATGTTGAGGATCTCAATTTGGTGTGTAAACATGCAGAGTAGAACAACCTCGGACTTATTTTCTGAGCTTTTACATATCTAAGAAAACAAATTTTCTTGTAATCGAACCCATCTTCATCCACCATGCATTCCTTTGAATCTGTACATTTTTTTTCTTTTGATTTTTTCTTTTTTTTTTGGGCGGCGAAAACACATTTTGTACAAACTGTCAATGAAATGGTATCAAGTCATTACATATAGATAACTGCCAAGTCACTCCAGAAGCACTTAGTACGTAGAAAGAATAATTCAGAATTGAGTGATGCACCTAACAAGAGGAGAAAACACTTGATAAAGAAAATAGTGAAGTAAATTGTCCACATTTTTCACACTTGTTAAACAGATGTTATCAGAAACCAAATACCCTATACGATTGGTTCCACTGGCAAACGAGATAAGACACTGATGAAAAACCATTTACTGGACAACTATGTGAATCACATTCGAAAGCAAAGTATATCCCTCATATATATGTCATTCAAATTCATCCCACAAGCAACCAAGCTTTTACAGATGACTTTTCAAAGGGAAAGGGAGCCTGGGAGAGAGAAAATAACTTAGAGCGCTTGGATGTTTATGCTAACCATAGCAACTCTTATAGCTAAGCATGATTGGAAAGGGTAAACATGATTATGAAGGGTATTTCTCTACAATGGAGAGAACTGAAAGTGCTAAAATCACAAAAGCAGTTTCACCTGAAAAAAAAAAAAAAGAGCAGAACTGACTGAAGTCATTTCACATAAATTAATTATTTATTGAATTACTTGGAAAGAGTTGATAACGTCTGAAAATTGTTTATCCAGGCACTAGAACATACCTGATATTGAGGATAGGAATATTGCCAAAAGCAAGAAGCTTCCCTAGGACATGCACTGCAATCTTTCCAGAACCACTTGCAATGCATCTGGAGATTACCAGAGCAGTTATAACAGAACTAAGCAAGCAAACGAACTTTTTTTTATCAGCTCTCTACTTTCCATCCTTTTTCTTTTTACCTTTATACAAAGAAAGTAGGCAACAAGCCCAAAAAGTACATAAAATAAAATCAATTCCCCAACTCTTCTGATAGTTACAATTTCTTATCCTAGCAAACTTTTAATTTATTGATGACTTCCTTTCAGTTTGCATGACCATCAATGAAGCAGCAAATAGAAAAGGTGGATGAATGGAGACTTATTATCTAGTTAGACACGGATCATCAGGAATGAACTTTAAAAAGTTCACTAGTCAATTATTTCACACGTTAAGCTACAGACCATATGAATGAATAAACAAAATGCACAAGTCATACACGCTTGAGAGCTAGAAGGAGATAAAACGCTGTGTCAAACCAGTAATCCTTTAACAACTCAAAAAGGCTGCTGTGAACAATAATTTTTACAAAAAAAAAAAGAAAAAAAAAAAAAAGATCTGTATCAACCCAATAAAGCAATGATAACTTTCTGTAGTGCTTCAACCAGTGCGGTGATGGAAAGTTTCATTTTCTTACTCCTATTGAGCCTTCACTTTCTTAAATCTGTACATAAGGGATTCGATAGATTTCTGTAATCGGGAACTTTCTTCTAGCCTCACTGCGTGAGATGCCTGGTGTAAACTTTTGATGCCACGACCTAAATTAGCAATTGAAGGAGCAGCAGGAAGAGACTCAGCTGCACATTCAATTCCATCACCATGCACAAGCAACCTGTACAAGTAGCAACACTACACCCAAATGTAGCCCATGGCAGCAAACCAATTGGCCGGACCCTCCTTTTCCTCATTATCTCATAAAACGCTGTTCTCATGGCAGAGAAGCTGGTTCTCTCTGCAGATGCTATCATACTGTGAGCCACAGCTCGAATTTTTTGAGTAGAAGCAGTTGCCTTCAATGCAGAGGTTGTTTTGGCTCCAGCACTTGCAAAACTTGGCACTACCACTTTCAATGGACCAACTATCTTGCCAAGGGCAATAGCAATTGCCTTCTGAGACTGGCTCAAAACCAGTTTAAGTGAAGCAGGAAGTTTTAAAGTAGCAACTTTCATGAAGGTTGATGCAGGGACAACTTTAGAGAGAGATGAAGCTCCTAAAACAGCAGTTGCTCCTGCCCCAAATGCCACTACTGGTTTATTAGTTAATAACCCCTTTCTACCATTGTGGCTAGAACTTTCTTCATCATTTCCACAATAACTAATTAATTGCTCCAACATACCCTTGATCTCTGAAGGAATATCAGTGTTCCAGTGTTTCCTAAGACCAGCTAAACTACTAGCATCAACTATAGCCACTATGGATTTGAATTTGTTAGTCTGGCTTCTAAGAGCCTGGGCAAAAAGAGCATGTGACTTTTCCTCAACATCAAGCTCCAAAAACTCTACTTCACCTAATCTCAGGTTCCCAACTTTGTTCAGCCTACCTGCATTGTTGAGAGCAATTCTTAATCCCTCAACTGCAATTCTAAAGGTGTGAACTTCAGACAGGAGTTTCATATCAACAGCTTCTCCCTTGTTGACATCATGAAGCATCTTTTGTGCATGAGCCAAAGCCCTTGCAATTGATGGGATATCAACAAAAATATTGTGTAAATCCAATAGTAAGGGATAAATAGACTGGGCATATGGTGGAGCCTCGTAATCCAATCTTGGCTGAAACTCTGCAGAATCTCCTTCCGAAACAGGGGTAGACAGATTTAGATATAAGCATAATGACCTTACCATCTGCAAATAAAGATCATTTGTTAGAAAAAATGTCCTTGAGCTTGATGGAACTACAGCACCCACATTTTGAGGAACAAACTACTAGGTTGTAAAGCTAGTGCTTGGAACTTGTTTCTTGATTCAGCTTCACCAATGGAATTGTTGTCCTCGCTACATTTCAGAAATGGAGACTCAATCAGCAAGAAGTTTGACCCAACTTCTTCAGCTATTCGTTTTGCAGCCAAGACATGTCCATGAAGACTAACCCCAAAAATTTCTCTCAAAACCAAGCCACCAGCCACATTTTCATACTTGTCTTTATTTATTTTATGAATAAAGCACCTCCTTAACACTTCAAAGGATGACGTTGGAACCGGATCATCTATATCATTCCCGGATTCAATTTCTTTGGACTGAATATCATCTACTGCACCATGAGCTACTTGAACAACAACTGCATCAGGCTGGACTTCCCTAATGAGATGTTCAGCATCCACAGCTGATCTCTCGGACAAATTCTGAGCGCAGAGTATGTATACCACAGCTTGAGACTCAGAATCACGTATGGCAAATACAAATTGTTTTGTCTGTGCCGGTAATGATAGTTTACGAACCAATCCATCTGACACTTTCAAGTCATCAAATTTGAGTACCGAGAAAGGCCATATATTTGACACAAAATGCAGAATTGCCGTTGCCATCATAAAGAATTCATCACTACATAGATTTATTTGCCACGAATAAATACAACAACACCAATTCACTTCAAATGCTCCATTGAAAAGGAGAGCTCAGCTGTGACACGACCTGTCAAATTCAACGAAACTCAATCAAGAACAGAGGATTCGGAGTCCAGCGACTTTGACAAACTAAACTAGCAGAAAAATCCCATGTTTTTATTCGATATATCAGGAAAGCGAGCGAAATCGGAAGGCTATCAAAAATTTCTCTACAAGTGAATAAATATACGCGTTCGTATGCGTATATAAGAATTTGATTACAGGCAGTGAGGTTCAGCAAGGAATCGACAGCCTAAATCGTACCTGATAAGAATGAAGGATCAAAGACGGCAAGTGTGATTCTCGAAGGATGATTCGAGTTAATACTGAAGATCGTTTCGTTTCCTTTCGTTTCGTTTACACGCCATTTCGCATACCCACAATCTAGAACTACGCATCCGCGCTGGAAGTTTTGACGGCGATGGATTATATAAGGTCTAATAACCCTAGAACCCCTTAACTTAGTCTTTTGCCCGTTCAAACCCTTCAACTAAGGTGTAATTAGGTTGCTCGAAACGAATCGGACCGATTGGACTGAATTAACTTAAACCAAATCGATAAAAAATTGAACAAAATCGAAAGAAATCGGTTTAATTTGATTTTAAGTATTTATAAATTGATCGGTTCGGTTCGATTTTAATTTTGTTCCAAAATAAAATTGAACTGAACTGAACCGATTATATTTATTAATAGAAAAAAAATCAATTGATATCGAGTATAAGTGTAAAAAACTTGTACCAAATCTTACACCGTTGATTTGATCAAAATTAACAGATGAAATTAATTACAGTCGTCTTTCAATAATTTCTAATAATTAATTTACAGTTAATTAATCTCATCTGTTGATTTTGACCAAATCAACGGTATAAGATTTGGTGTAAGTTTTTTACACTTACACTAAGGGTTAATTGATCCATTTTCTTATTAATATTTATATATATATAGATATATTATTTATGTTATATTTATATTGTATTTATTATATATTTATTTTATGTATTTATTATATTATATATTTACATTTGTATTATATATATTTATATTTATATTGAATTTTTTTTACAAACTAAAAAACATTGTGAAAAATCGAAGATGTCAACCAAACTAAACTAACTTTAGTTGGTTGGTTTTTTGTCAAGATTAAAATCGATTGTGTCCAATAAAACCAAAAACTGACATATTTGGTTCAATTGGGAAAAAGCTCTCAAAACCGAACCAAACCGATAAACACCTCTCAGTGTAATAGCCCTCGAACCCCCTCAGCTAGTCTTCTTTCCGTTTGAACCTTTCTACTCAGCTTGTGCTTTTCTGCCTCTTTTTAACTTTTCAATGCTTGCCCAACCCAGTCCTGCCCTTGCGCGGAACAAAGTTAAATCGGGTGCTGATGTCGATGACAGTTCAGAGGAAAAAAAAGAAAGAAGAAAGAGATAATATCTTGTTCTAAAGTTTTAAAAATTTTTACATTTAATTTTTATGCCTAAAAATAAAATCTCTTCTAATCACGTAAAATAAAATTATAGAATTACTTTCCTTTTTCTCTTTTACATGCTCTTTTCTTTTCTCTGTTTCGCATTAGAGATAGTTATGTATAAATTCAATTAATACATGTGAAAATAAAAAAAAATTCTTATTATCTTTTCTTGGTAAATTTTGTTTCTAAACCTTTATTTAAAACTCTTTTTTTCTACATTCAAGGTGAGCATTTCTTTGATAACAGAGGAAAAATAGTTAAACCATTGCAATTATTTTTTTTAGGCGAGCATTTCTCTTTTAATGCTTTGAGG